ACTTGACATTATAAAAAACAACAAAAAAGCCACACATCATTTATGCTCTGCTTCTGCATCATTTAAGCTGAAAACAGACTTCTTGTAGTTTCCAGTCATGGAGGAAGGAAAGCAGAAAACAGTGATTTAAGAAGCTGCAGTGTCAGAGTTCAGACGACTTAAAACCAGTAACGATCCAAGCTGATTAACATCCAGAGGAACCTGTCCACCCTGACCTGACCACTGCAACACGCTTCACTGAGTGTAGCCGTCATCAGGGACCCCAGGCGTCACTAGTGGACGCCGGGGCTCGTACTCTGGCCGTTCTCTAGCCAGGATGAAACCAGCTGCAGGGCACCGAGCCCAGCAGCTGCACTTGACTGGCAGACAGAGTCCAGATCAGCCGGCCTCCTTACCTTGACCACCACGCAGCTGCAGCCCACCACCTTACGGGGTTTGCCCTCGCGGTCGATCTTGCACAGACCAACCCACTCCCCGAGCTTCTTGTTGTCGTCAACCTGCAGCCAGCAAACACAAGGACACATTAGAGCCACCGCTTTAAACCACATCTCCCATCAGTCCCGACAGACGCTAGTCAGAGACGTCGGTGCTTTTCATGAAGCCGACTCCATCACGCTGGAGCCTCAATGGAGGACGAGTGAACAGTGATGTACAGGTATTCATCTGGTGGTGGAAATACGAAGCCTCAGAGGGACAGAGAGAGCTGAGCAGCACCATCACTTCAGAAAGAAAAGTCACATTTTAATTCTGCTCTTCGGTTCCTGGACATTTCCCTTCAGTTCATCTCCTGCTCCTCTGGTCTTAAATCCTGAATTCATCTCAGTTAACCTGCTGCACAGTTTCTTTATCAGATTGTCTCCTAATGAATCCACTTCATCCAATAAATGCTGCCACACAGACCTGAGCAGCTCCAGTTCAGCAGCTGGACACGGGGAACCAGAACCGAGTCGCCCCGTTGATGCTGCACCAACATGAACAGACTTTCAGTAACTTTTCTGCTTGTTGAAGCAACATCACTGTCCTGAAGCAGCAGGTGGGTCAATATCGGACAGACTGAGGCTGTGTGGCCGCTAAAATGGGGGGGTAACATGATGGTGTTTGTGGACGGACAGAGGCGGAGGAAGAACTCGACTCTTTAGACGAGTGAAACGCTACCAACACCACAAAGCTCTGCCTGGAACATGTCCTGTGGTGTCTGCAGGGCACCTGTCCCTCTGCCTGCTGCACATTAATAGATTATTATCACTGATGCATTAAAAGCAGATTTTACTGTAACTAAACTGCAGCTCCAGAAGCAATGAGCAGAATCAGAACTGTTCAAGTAGGAGCTCCAGACAGCAGCGTCGTACGGACGTCTGGTGACAAACACATGTTGAAGAGGACCTGCGGCATCTGTTATATCAACACCACACACACGCTCAGTGGTAATACAGCAGACACGTACTGGCGGGTCAACACCAGGTTTAAACAGGTAGCGTCTTTTTAGAACTCTTTGGATCTGGATGATTTACAGACATCACCAAACCGATGCCTCCCTATTCTGATTAAACAGACTCTTCAGCAGCTTCTTCTTCTCGCAGCGAGGAGACGGATCAGCATCATGAAAAGCACCTGAAGGTCCGTTTGTCAGATTCCTGCAGCTGTGACTGTATCTCAGACACAAATTGGGTAACATTGGCCATCTCCTCACAGAGCTCAGTAGAGGGAGCCAGATTATCATCAGCGATACAACAGCATGAACCCAAAGCCCTGGTTCTGACCCGTGTGGCACCCAGAAGACGTCTTACCTTGATCAGGTTGATCTGATGCTCGGCGCAGAGAGCTTCCACCAGCTTCACGTACATGGGCTCATCGCAGTTGGCGGCGAGGACACAGAGGTGGGCCTGGCGCCTGCAGGAGGACTCGGTTAGTCACGGTACCGACACTCAGCAGCCTCAGCACCACGCTGACAAACATCTCAGACACAAATTGGGTAACGATTGGCGGGTTTCCACAGAGAGTTCAGTAGAGGGAGCCAACATATCATCACTGATGCACCAACTACACCAGAGACCTCCAGCTGAGGTCCTCGTCAGCTCCTGTCCTGCAGGTTTTAGACGTTTCAGTACTGCAACACACCTGACTCACATTAATGGATCTCCAGCAGCTTGTTGTCAAGTTCTACACAAGTCTGTTAATGATCCAATAATGTGAGTCAGGTGTGCTGCAGTACGGAAACATCCAAAACCTGCACGACAGTAGCTCATGAGGACCAGAGTTGGAAATCCCTGAACTAAACACTCGTGGAGGTAAAGACGCTGAACTCACTTGTCCAGGGCCTTCGCAGCCTCACGGATTCCTCTGGCGAGGCCGTCGTGGATGAGTGCGGTCTTGAGCACCTCAGGGAGAGCGGTGTTGACATCCATCACACCTCCGGCAGCAATGCTGGGAAACACACGATAAACTGGTCAACATTTAAAACCAGCAGCTGGAGAAAAGTCAGAGAAAGTGTTTCAGCTGAGCTCCCGACATGTCAGACGCAGGATCTCACTCAGTGGAGAGTGAAGGGGTATCCGACAAAAGAATGGACATCATCACTCATGCACTGGACAGCTCAGTGAGGACACAGCCGCTCATCCACAGGCCTGATCTGATCAACTAGTACAAAATGATGACTGAAACACAGCCTCAAAAATGTGTGTAAAACGACCCAAAATGTGTTCACGTTAAAGGGAAACGTAAAGTGGCTCAACACCGTGTCTAGAGCATGAACGTGCGTGGAGTCCCGTTAGCTGAAGCTACTGGCATTAGCCTCACATGCTAACCTCGCCACTGTTACACACAAACAGACTCGTTATGCATTCAAACACTTTGCATGTTTAGCTTCACAATAAGAGGCAGTTTCCACAATTAACCGACTTGACTGGATCTGAGAGCTGCACATGTCTGAGCTAACCGCTGCTGAAGCTAGCTCTCGGCTAAACTAGCTGCTCAGACCGTGTTGAACAGTTTATGGAGGCTGTTACTGAACCACAACACAAAGCTGGAGGTTGAACCTTCCCCGTGTTCTGCTCTGTGAGCCCGGTTCGGTTCCACCGTCTGCCTGTGATGGTTATACTTATGGACCGGCTGCTAAGCTAACGTGGGCTAACAGTATACTCACCCTTCCTCGGCCATTGTAGATTCGCGATGGATGCTGGACTCAAAGTTCTGAAATACAGATCAGACATGACAGAGGAGTTATTACCGAGCACACACAGACCGCTCTGATCACTCTATCAATAAGGATGTTCGATTAAGCCGCAGATTGTGCCGCTGATGAACGAAACGCACCCTGTTCACCTCTCAGGCAGCGGGGAAAGAGGACGTCAGCAGGCCGCGACAGCGCTTTAATACCGACAGGCCCCTTCTGTGGTGTCCGCGGCGCTGCCTGTTGTAGTTGTAGCTGCCGGTTCACTGCGATGGAATATTCTCACCTCTGGATCATTTCTATCAACACATGGAAATGTCTGTAAAGGTTAGAATCAGTATGTAATCATGTATATAAATGTACATAATAGTAATAAAGTTCTGTCTAATCTAATCTAATCTGATAAAGATTAGAATCAGTTGGTGTGTTTAATAATGGCATCCTTGTAGGTTGAAGGTTTTAAAAATAAAAACGTGTTGACACCTTTTAACATAGCACACATTTGTAAAACAATATAATAAATCTGTGGAAGGATTCCAGCAAGACCGTGAATTCTAAAAAAAATGAAATAAATCCCTGCCTCTTAACAAAAAATCACTAAAGTCATTTGAATTCATTATTTTGAAAATGAAGGATTAAAACCCTATAAAATGATAGAATTTACAACTTTACCTTTCAATGTTAAATTTTAGGGTTTAAACCGTACAGTGATGATAATTCTGTAGATCAACACAAAAAATGTAAAAGCAAAGTTATCTGCAAACAAGCACATTCACACCATCAGACAGGGTTAGGTCAGGTCAGGACAGGTCAGTTTCTTTGGTTAGAGTTTCTCCCAGTTAGAGGAAGAAATACTACGAGATAAACAAAAGTAGAAAAGGATAAGCATAAAATGTCAAAATGTACTTTGTACTAGGAAAGTAAAAACGTAGGTGTGCATTGCAATAAATACCAACAGAGACATTAATATATCCTAAATAATAATTATCATGTCATCAATACAATAAATAAATATAATGGATAATACTACTGTGCTGGTGACTGTAGGATTAATTGGCCCTCACTGATAATAATAAAGATTACCTTGAACCTGGAACCTCTGGTCCTTTACACAGTGTTATTGTCATTTTCATCAGCCTTCATTCATTCTATAGTTTCCTGCTCAGCTCTGTCGCTTCTGTCCCAGTTCAGTTTGAACATCAGTTTAATGAACGACCAGAAAACTAACGAACTCCATCAATTAAAAACCTTTAACAGATAAACTGAGCAAACACCAAACAGTTCAGCAAAACCAAGCGCCGTCTCAGCTGTTCATGAGAAACGATGCACATCGTCCTTTAGAACGAATCACGTTTGACATTTTTTAGGTCGAATAAAATGTCTGAACAAACAGTCTTAAAATGTGCCCAAAGACTTGTTTTCAATACGTTATGTTTGTTCATTCGTTTTTATATTCAGATGAGCTTTAACATCTGCTTTTCCACAGAACAAGAACAAAATAGGCTCTAAAATCTGAATCTATGATTAAGATCAAATGCCCACAAAGTGTTAAAAAATTAGTAACACATTATGACATAATCATTTAATAAATATAAACTGTGACCCTGTTAAAAGCTTTTTATTTCACAGCAAACACATTTTTTATTTAATTCCAAACGGTCTCTTTTTAAAATTAACAAGTGGCTAAAAATCAAGCGTGTTGAAGAACGTTGAGTGTTTTCTTGGTGTTTGTTTCAGTCGTGACGCCATCAAGTCGTCTGAGACAGAAAACCCGTCATGAGTCCAAAAACTGACATTAATCTGCCCAAAAGGAAACAAACAACTCAACAAATACAATTTAAACTATTTTATTTCATTTCTACAAACTTTTCAGACGTGAAGCTTCAAAAACTCTCCAACATTTTCACATGAATCCATGTTTTTCATATTCTTGATGATTCCATGAAACCAAATGAGCTTTTTTTAGCTGCATTGTTCAAACATGAACAAAACGTCACAGAGACACAAGTATTCATTTGCTCTTTCGTAGGTTTTTGTTGTTGTTGCTGCTGCTTGGTGTTCAGCTGCTCATCGTTTCCGTCACAGTTTGAGGAACTCGTTTAATCTTTCCTCCTCAATTGCATTTTCAAAAGCAGCAAAGTCCTGGAAGACAGAAAAAGACGAGAATCAGAGGTTTGGGGTGAAGACAGCGACAGCACCGAGCATTTAACATGTTTAAGAAGACATCAGAGGGACTGTGCTGCACAGCTTGTACATGACGTCAGACATTCATTTACAGTCTGGGGCGTAGATTTAAATTTGAACATTGTTGGGTCTGAATCTGCCCCTCTAGAAATTCTCATCATCAAACACTTGATTTCCTGCATTGTGGTAAATTCTGAAATGTGTTCCTGTAAATAAAAGCAATACATTCAAACACAGTGAGAAAACATGAGTGGTTCTGAGTGTTTTCAAAAGAGCTCTAAAAGCAACCCTGGTGAGGGAGGCCACCGAGACTCCTATGACTCCTCTGAAGGAGTTACCAGCTTTAGCA